CACCTTGCCCCAGTCCACGTTGTCGTGCACGTCATCCGTGTCCACGATGCGCTTGTCCGACGGAGAGCGGCCCGTCTTGGCGTACGATAGCACCGCCAGCGCGCCCCGAGCCGTCAGGCATGAGTCCTTCTCGAGCTTAAGCGCCCACTTCACGAGCTCGGGGGGTGTCAGGTTCCTGTGGTAAATCGGCGACATCCTTACCTTTACTTGCCTCCGCAGCCTGCTTATGGATGGTGAAAGAGTTATATTCAATCTTGTGATGGCGTAAAACCTTTTGTGCGTACGTCCGCGGCGAAATGGAGAAGTGCATATGTGCGTGAGCGCAGTGCTACAGACTTACCCCCCCCACTCGGGGCTCTTCTGCGTTAGTTCATCCTCCTCTTTTTCGTTTTTGTTTTTTCCACCCCGAAAGACGCCTTGCGCCTCGTCCTGGTGTTTGTGTATTATCTGCAGAAGTGTATATACGTAGATGGCGGAGCTGCGTAACGGGCTGCCCGTCCTACTTTCCTTCATTTCCTTTTGAAAAAAAAAATTAATCACCCCACAACAGAAAAAAAAAACCTACGCTTATTATTAGGGGTGCTTGTGAGCTCCTACAGGCGGGAGCTCTCCACGTAACGCGGGACGGCGCTCTTCATTTCCTCCGACGCCTTCGCCGCAAAGCGCTCGTTGAAGCTTCGCTGGAACATTTCCACCAGCTCCTTTGACGTTGCGTTGAACTGCTTTACATCCTTCCAGGCCTTGCGTGGGTCCAGCAGGTACGCTGGCACATTGGCGACGTGCTTCGGAATGTGCAGCCCCCAGCCGGGGTAAAGCTCGTATTCCGCCTGGTCGAGCGAGCCGTCGTGGATCGCGTCGATGATCGCGCGGGTGACGCGCAGCGGCATGCGCTTCGCCCCACGGTCCGCGCGGCCGCCGGCGAAGCCGGTGTTGAGCAGCCACACGCGGCTGTTGTGCCGCTTCATCTTCTCCGCCAGCTGCTCGCCGTAGAACGTCGCGTGGCGCACGAGGAACGGACCGCCGAAGCACGATGAGAAGACCGGGCGAGCCGTGCGAATGTTTCCGGCCTCGACGCCTGGAACGTTTGCCGTGTAGCCGGTCACGAACCAGAACATCGCCTGCGCGCTCGTCAGCCGCGCCACCGGGGGCATCACGCCGAACGCGTCGTTCGTGAGGAAGATGATGTTCTTCGGGTGGCCCGCGACGGCGTCCTTCAGGGCACCCTCTATGTACGAGAGCGGGTAGGAGACGCGCGTGTTACGGCAGATCGACTCATCGTAGAAGTCGATCTCCCCCGTCTTCTTATCCAGCACGCAGTTCTCCGCCACAGCACCGAAGCGCACGGCTTCGTAGATGTCCTTCTCTGTCTTGGGGTTCAGGCCAATGGCCTTGGCGTAGCAGCCGCCCTCGACGTTGAACACGCCGCGGTCCGTCCACACGTGTTCGTCGTCGCCGATCAGGTTGCGATGGGGGTCCGCCGACAGCGTCGTCTTGCCGGTGCCGCTCAGCCCAAAGAAGACCGTCACGTCGCCGCTCTTGCCCACGTTCGCGCTCGCGTGCATGCACAGGTGGTTCATGCGCGGCATCAGCTCGAACATCACCGTCAGGATGCCCTTCTTCATCTCACCAGCGTACTCCGTGCCGAGGATCACCTGCTCGTGCGTCTTAAAGTTCAGCGCCACGCACGTCGTCGAGGTCACACCGGGGATTGACGGGTCCGCCTTGGCCTCGCCGGCATTGTAGATGACGTATTCCGGCTCGCCAAACTGCGCAAGCTCTTCGGGCTCCGGCACAATGAGCATGTTGCGCATGAAGAGCGCATGGTACGGCCGCGTCGTGATCACGCGCACCTTCAGGCGGTACCGCTTGTCGTGGCCGGCGAAGCAGTCCACCACAAACAGGTGCTCGCACTTGCCGAGGAAGTCCTTCGCAAGCTTCTTCAGCTTCGCAAAGGAGTCCTCCGAGAGCTTCATGTTCACCTTGCCCCAGTCCACGTTGTCGTGCACGTCATCCGTGTCCACGATGCGCTTGTCCGACGGAGAGCGGCCCGTCTTGGCGTACGATAGCACCGCCAGCGCGCCCCGAGCCGTCAGGCATGAGTCCTTCTCGAGCTTAAGCGCCCACTTCACGAGCTCGGGGGGTGTCAGGTTCCTGTGGTAAATCGGCGACATCCTTACCTTTACTTGCCTCCGCAGCCTGCTTATGGATGGTGAAAGAGTTATATTCAATCTTGTGATGGCGTAAAACCTTTTGTGCGTACGTCCGCGGCGAAATGGAGAAGTGCATATGTGCGTGAGCGCAGTGCTACAGACTTACCCCCCCCCACTCGGGGCTCTTCTGCGTTAGTTCATCCTCCTCTTTTTCGTTTTCGTTTTTTCCACCCCGAAAGACGCCTTGCGCCTCGTCCTGGTGTTTGTGTATTATCTGCAGAAGTGTATATACGTAGATGGCGGAGCTGCGTAACGGGCTGCCCGTCCTACTTTCCTTCATTTCCTTTTTTAAAAGAATTGGCTACGCCTCTGGCTCTGCTGTAGCCGCTGCAGAGGGGGAGGGGGGCGGCAGGAGTCAATTCCGCTCCGGCCGTCTGTCTGGTGTCGTTTTTTTCGTTTTTCTGTTTTTTTTTATTTGCTTTTTTTCTTTTTGCTTCGTTTTATTTCGCTCCTACGGAGTTGGAAATGAACATTGGCATTTGACGTGCACCGCAACTTTTTTTGATTTTTGTTGTTGTTGTTGTTGTTGTTGTTGTTGTTGTTCCGGCAACTGTCTTTTGTCGTTTGTCGTGTTGCTCTTTTGACGCTCGGCCCCCTCCTCCGCCGCACCCGCGGAGCCGCGGGTCGCCGCAGTTCTCGCGGGTGTCGTCACGCCCGGGATCTGCTGGAGC